AAAACTGATTTCTACATATTGCACAAGTATTTGCTGCAACACTTCTTCCCCCCCCCCCCAACTAAAGCCAGTGCACAGAAAGCAGTGCAAGAGCCAGATTTTTTAGAACGATATAGGGGGTGAGGACCACCAGGGACTTGAAAGAAGAGGTCTGATATTGATCAAAGCTCACCAGCTACTGATTGGAGTAGGTGTTGAACTAATCAGGAATAGTTAAACGTCTTAGCAGAGTATATTGCGAACCACTCCACCGGTGAAAAAAGTGATCTGCATTTCTTCAAGACAATGCACAAAAGCGTCACTATCTACTTACGCGTAAAAAGGCCCGGATCGATTATCGGTTGCAAATTAGGAGCGGATTTTTCGAAGCGATTGCCCGTTCTAATTTCAAATTTTTACTTTGAGTTTTTTAGGTACAGAATCTGTGATCCTTTATTGATTTGCATGTTTCAGTGGGCACAGGTCATTCTGATGTTGGAACAAACGTTGACGAACGCTGAGCGAACGATGGCTATCTACAGCTACTCACGTCCGCTTCGAAGTGACAAAGCTCGTCGAGCGTTTGTAGTGCGACTCAAATCTGACGTCAGTGGTAACTCTCAGAGGTTCACGTCGTTGGGGAAGCGACTAACTTCTTGGATATATTTTTAACTTTTATTCTCCTTACAGACGGTTTCTAAGAAGAGTTTATCTGAAAGTTGCTTTGTTCTTTGCGCTGTGACTGCTTTTTGCTTTTGCTTTTTTTTCAATTTTATCGCACTTAGAAAAGTATGGCCTCAACTATTCATCGTATCAAATGTAGCAGCCGGTGCTGTGAACGAGTGTCTGATTTTATGGTATCAGTTATTCATGCTTCTCTGTTTGGCAAAGAAAACCAAGCTTAGTGTTTGACTTGTTTGCTGAGCATGAATTATCACAGTGCTGCTGTTTATTCGATAGTAATGACACACTTCCCTTTAATTTTGCTCTTGTTGCTATGGCTGAGGATGCCACGAATTAATTCACAGCAGGGCGTGCCATGTTCCCGAGAAAAAATTGAAACAACCAGAGGATGAGAGCGTGAAAGGTTCACATAACCGTAAGAAAAGTAAGAAATCAGGCTTTTGAAGATCCATCAGTTTCTAAATAATATTGTTGTGATTCACAAGAATGCTGGGTTGTGAACAAAACTTTCGCCCCAGGCGGGACTAGAACCCGCACCTCTCGCTTTCCGGGCAAGTGCGCTACCAGTTACGCTACCGGGGCACCATTTCATTCCAACTCAGCTTTTCATGTATCGTTGCACACTTACCACAAGGTTGTTGAGTGGATCTTTGTTTCGGCCTACGTTCCAATCTTTTCGTCGTTCTAACAGTCTTTTTTTCATCACCCAGTAGTGAAATGTTGGGCTCAGAAGATTGATAGTGATCCAATATTTTTCAATATTCAACAGACCGCTGAAGATCCTTTCTCCAATTCTCCACAGAATTTCACCCACTCTCAGCTCATGTCCCTCAAGTCAGATACGAGAGCCTTTTCCTTATGAAGATCCTACGATTCCACGGCACATCCTATCGAGATAACGCTTAAAAGCCTTAAAAATCTACAACTCACACCAACATATGCCAGTTCGTAAAAAAGAGATGGTTTGAAGAGTACTAAATCTCCAGTTTTGATTATCTAGAAAAACGAATCACACGCTAGAAAGTCGAGTTCATGTCAGCCGAAAAGAAGGCACAGCATGCCGTGGATCGAGCATCATACTTTACAATAGCCTTGATCTTCCTCGGAACACTTCATTGATTTTCACAGGGAAGTATCCTATATTTCGGAGAGCGGAAGAGCGTAGAGTGCAGACCACGCATCACGAGTGACGACACCAGAAATAGCTTCTTTCTTGATGTTGTAGTTGTGGCTGCACGCGACGCTACTTCTCGTCTTCTGTTATAAAGGGTACGAGTTTTGGAATAAACGTTCTATAAAACAGTTTTCAACACCGTGTTGACAGCCGGATAGTAACAAATGATTGTTGACCTGGAAACGGCGAAACTATTTATTTAGTGTAATTGCGAGGCTTGAGCCTTCCGAACCTAGTTTGCGCAATGTTCAAATTACTCAATGAAACTCGCTGTTTATCCGACCTTTCCTATACTGGTCCTCACTACCCAAGTCAGCGGCCAGGTTGCTCGCCACGTGTATCGAAAATCCCCTATCTGATTTTCTCCTACCATTAGCAATCACGATCAATTCTTCACTTGGAACTCAGGAGCTTGTCTCCTTAACGTTCAACCGGAGAAAAATTCAGTAACGAGCTATCGAGTTGAACACTGGCCACAATAACTTTGTCTTTCTCCTCATCTCTTGACTCCCTCGTCAGGATACGCCATGTCTTCTACGTCCATTCAAAAACGTGACCTAATTCCAGCATGTTCGTAATTAATCCTGGTTTGAATTTGCTTAGCTATTGCGGAGAGCTGAACTATGACCTCTGTCTGCAAAGGTTTGATGGCTGCTCAATCAAAACAATGATTTAACAAAACCACTTTATGGGTCCACTCGTGGCACTGAACAATCTGAATAAACTAAGAAACTCGTTTATACATCGTTGACAACTGAATACATCTAAAATGGTAATGTGAATAAAATCAAGTGAATATGACGAATGTAATAATAGAAGTCATTCCCGCTAAAACCATGGACTCACACGTAAACTCGATAGTTCAAACCTCTACAGCTCTACAGCTATAGTTCACAGGTGACGGTCTCGAGCAGCCTAGAACCTGTTAAAAAAGAAGTCGAGAAAATCGGACGGGGTCAGTGATGGAACAGGCGAAGACCCGTGTGAATGAGGGTAATGCCATGTTCATCGCACGCTTCAATGATATCCTCATCTCGGACCGATCCGCCCGGATGAGCGATGTACATCACTCCGAACTGGAAGGTAGGGGTCTTTAATGGATCACTGTGTCAACAAGCAAGCTTCTGACCGCCTACCTGCTTTGCACAGTCGATGTTATCCCTAAATGGAAGGAACGCATCCGAGCTCATCACCACTCCGCTCTGCTTCGCCAACCATTCTTTGCGATCTTCCTGGAATGCGGTAGACTTTAGTTTCTCTTACTGCACTTACTGGTGCCATCCATAGGAGCAATCATTCATGGCAGCTCAAATTCTGTGCGTCATCGTTGTTTTTACGCATCAATGGGGGCCCTCGGTTATGATGGATGAACCCGGCCCATGTGTCGCAACGGCGCTCAATGACGTGCAACTGAACTAGGGTTGCCATATTTGGCCAGAACTATCTAGCCAAGCATCAAAAATCAACACCAAGTCAAAGGCAGCGTTAATTCCTTTAGAACGGTAAGAAACGTACCGGAGTTAAGGGGTTGACCGGTTCCGTGAAATACTGCTGCCAGTGGTCCACTGAAACCTGTAACGGAAAGCTCATTCAAAGCTTCTGAGCTGAACACACTTCCTTTCAAAGCTGTAATTTACTCTAACACTTTTATTGTGGAAATACCACAGTCCATCCCCTAGCTCACATCACACTTTACAGATCAAGCGCAGCGCTTCGGTTTCAGTCCTTAGCAAGGACAACCTCTCTCCGTACGCGACAAGTGCGCTCCGCACGAGTTGTTGCATGTTGCGCGTTGGTCAACCATACTACTTCAGTTACTGATTTTCGGATGAAATAATACACATTTACCGAAAAAGCTCCGTTCCACTGAAAAATCTAGCTGTTGGGTCAAGTTAAAATCCTGTTGGAGAAGCTCTCTTACCAGGAAAGCCGTTCAGGATAACGCTTTTTCAAAACGGTTTGTTGCATGTTGTAGGGGCACGTACACAGAGCATGAAACTGATAACAAATTTTTTTCCTGAGCGGACCTGGGATTGCTAGAAAGTGTTCAAAAGCCCACTTAAAGGCAAAGGTCGGGATTAGTTGACCAAACCAACCCTTTCGGTCATGCCTGTACTTGGTTACGCACCCGTAGAGATGTTCCCACACTCAAAACCCGAAACGGCGCAGTAATAAGGCCCCAGGGCATGTACTATGCGCTATCGCCGCCTGGCCCCGCTACGACCGCCCACCTCGGGATGTGGTGCATGGCTGGCATAACGTGTGAAATCAGCTAGGTTGATTGCCGTATCAACCGATAGAACGACTGATATCTTCGGAACTTGTTTGTACGTACCTCTTTCCCAAGCCAGCCTTCTTCGCTGCTGGTGGGAAAGAGGGTTTTGTTAGCGGCCTCGTCGACTATTTTTCTCAGTTTTTTCTCCACTGTCGTTCTACTTCGCATCTCTA